CCCGCCTCTACTTTCCAAGTAGCTGGAACTCCAGGCGTGTGCTACCATACCCAGCTAATTTTTTACTTATTGTAGAGACAAGGTCTCGCCAAGTTCCTGGGCGGGTCTTGAACCTGCAGGCTCAGGCAATCCACTCGCCTTGACCTCCCAAAGTGCTGGGATTACAGGCTGAGCCACTGAGCCCGGTCCGGCTAATTTTTGATTTATGGTAGAGACAAGATCTTACCTAGTTGCCAGACTGGTTTCGAACCCATGGGCTCAGGCAATCCTCTCGCCTCAGTTTCCCAAAGTGCTGGGATTACAGACGGGAACCACTGCGTCCAGTTATTTTGGTAAATTCTTGGAAACCTCATGAACACATGTGGACACTGACCAGAGGCACTGACTTGTTCTTTGGAACTTGTAGACAGAGTCAGTTTGTCACCGTGATGGGTAATTTTGTATCAACGTGGCTGGACCACAGTGCTCCGTGCTAAGATAGTTGGTCAAATGTCATTCTGGATATTTCTGCGAAGACATTTTTGAATGAGGCCAACATTTAAGTCGGTGGCCTTTTGAGCACAGAAGTCCCTACTTAGGCACAGGGATACATTCCAGAACCTGAGTGGCTGCTTGAAACCCCAGATGGTACTGAACCCTGTACACACTATGCACTTCCTGATCTGATAGTGGAGGGGCTGCTGAGTGATGAGTGGACGGGGCATGCAGCAGGGATATGCAGGACAAAGGAATGAGTCACGCTCTGGAATGGAGCCGGCAGCCTGAGATATCATCTCGCAACTCAGAATGGCGCGCAGTTGAAACTCACAAACTTCTGGAATTTTCCATTTCATATTTTCAGATCAGCCGGGCTCGGTGGCTCAGCCTGTAATCCCACGCCCTTGGGAGGCTGAGGTGAGTGGATTGCCTGGGCCCGCGGGTTCGAGACCCGCCTGGGCAACTTGGCGAGACCTCATCTCCACAGTAAATCAAAAAATTAGCTGGGCGTGGTAACCTGCGCCTAAAGTTCCGGCTACTTGGAAGGCTGAGGCGGAAGGATCGCCGGAGCCCAGCAGGTCGAGGC